TCTCTTTCTCTCTCTCTCTTCTCTCTCTCTCTCTATCGTTTCCTCGTCCATAAGTGTGTGCGTGATTAGACTGAATCATCAGGGATAGCTTTTGTAGTTAAGTTTAACTTCTCCAATTTTCAATAAATAGACAAAATACGGAAAAATCCAACTAAGGTTGGAGCTTCAGAGAGAAGGCCTATCAATTTATATTAATATTCGAAAGAAACACATAACAAGAAAATGCAGTCTTCATCAAAGAGTTGACAATTAGGAATTTAGACGAAGCATCTCACTTGTGATGACCCAAGAAGAACATCCCGGGACTTTTTATAATCCCTCCATCGAGAGATATGGCTCCATGGGCAATATAAGGCCGAGCCTTTAGCATGTCGTCTCTTGATCTGTATACTTGCAAATCCAAGAAAAGGTTGTAGAATAGCGTCTCTCTCAGACTGTGTTTGTTTTTCGGGGTGCAGTATAAGTAAGTGCCATCAATTGTCACCATATTTACAGCAAAACCAAGAAAGCCGGCTGGAGTTTCACCACTAGTTGATCTTGGCTTCAGAAGATCAAGCCTCCGTTGGGGGTCATCAGTTATTATCTGACCAGTATATGGTCTGAATAAGAAACCCCAGAAGAGGAGGTATAAATTACTAAGGTAGATTAATATAATATGAAACTAACTGGTGAAATTCAAAAAGAATACCTCAAGATCCACAAACAAACACACACCTTAGATTTTCCAGACAAATAATGAGGAATCGGTCATCCAGAGGCCGTCCAGCTAATGCAGCTAGGGCATGAATGCCCGAACTTTTATTAATTGAACCATCTTTGGTGTATCCCTCGAGAGCTTTGACTCCTTCATAAGTCTTGCAGACCACTGCTAGCATGGTTTCTAAACCCAAATACTCTGACAGAAGCCTAAAATACATATTTTAAACAACAAAATACAGACAAGTAGTTTCTCGAATACCATCCCTAAATATTTTAGAAACCACAATTGTTGTTTGAAGTACAGAATATAAAATATTTCAATGATCTCCATGAACTTATATTTCTTACTGACCCAAATTTATTTCTCCTTGGCTTCTTTTTCTTTATTAATTTTCTTTCCTTTTCTTTTTTAACTTTGAAAACACTCCTCGCTCCTCGTGCATTGCATCACAACAAGCTCAAGCAAACAAACCATATCTTGATGTACATCTAAAAACATTATTGTGCTGAAGAAAAATTCGTAAAAAAAATAAAAATAAAAATTATGATAAGTTGTGCAATGCACCGTACATCAAAGACATGATCTTCAGGATTAGGTGTGCTATAAGAAAAGAGGAAAGTTAAGTGTAAGACTACTCAGACCAACCTGCTAAGGTTAGCATCATCAACTTTGCCAAGTATAGCAACAACACCGATCACATCTTCAGTCAATGAGTGATCAGAGACCTGCGCCTCACGGTTATATTTCATCTTACACAACAAGGCTGCTGCAGAATTTTCGTACTTCAAGATCTGCTGAAGTATGTCTTCCTCACTCTCCATCGGAACAGGGCCTTCATTTTCTCCTCTAGGAAATTTTGCTGTATGATGCTTCCCAAGGGCAACTGCATGGAAAAGTAGGTTAGACGGCCACATGAAGATTAATCACTCAAAAGGCAAGTACCATTACTAGAAAGAAGAGATCTATAGCAGCCATACAAGAGAACTACAAAGATGTAACATCTGTGCAACAAAATATTCATGAAATGTCTTAGTACATAGATGTGGATGAAATATGTCACAAGTTCTGGGTATGAAATTCTTTCAACATTTTGGCTCCGCAATGAGGTTTTCAGAAAGGAATTTGGAAACTAAGATACCTTGCATATCAAGGATTGAGTCATCTAATTTATTCTTCAGAGTTTTTAAGCATTTGATATTGTCTTCATGGTGCTTAATTCTTTGGCCAAGTTCTTGCAAGTCATCCTGAAGTTTCTGCAACAATGAGATCATTTCATGTCAATACAATTGACAAGATCATATTACAAGTAGTTACAGAAGCAATTTATGCTTTCATTTGAAAACAAGACATAAACAAATATCAAAAACAATATTCATAGGCATGAACTTCATCCGAGGAGACAAAAGACAAACCTGCGAGTGGTTTATCATTGACGCGGGGTTCTGACCATGAACTCCATTATGTACCTCTTCCTTTATAAAGGGATACTTTTGTCCAACGGGCCTTAATGCTAAAGGGTCAGAGACGACCAATGCCCTGGAGTCGATTGACATCTGGCATGACAACAGAACTAATCAGCCATAAATATCACTAGCATACACGCGAGCATATAGCACATATACACGCTTACGGTTATTAGGAACATCCACGCAAAAAAAAAAAAAAAAAAAAAAAAAAAA